CGAAATCCGGATATGGTGTACAAATTTTTTTTGCACCTCATGTTTGCGGTATACCATCTTTTCCGCAAGTTTATTGGTTTCTGTTTGGTAATAAATTATTATAAGATCCATTTTGTTACATCTGGTGATCCGTTTATTTGGCAATCGCCAATGGCAGTCAGCAGGGTTTAAGAACATTAGTTGTTCGACCTGCTAGTCAAATGCATTTTGTTAAAATATACTTTTTCACTTTTTTGGTCTTTTGGAAAATGTTGTTTGTGCTGTATTTAGACCCCTCTACCAAGAAATTTGTTTTGCATGCACACGTATAAAAATTGCGGTTTTTATCCAACGCAATCATAGGTTTGAACGTTGTTTTCAATTTAGACTTTTATATATTTTTTTCGTTTGGGCTTGTATTATATTTTCCTTCGGGTTTATATGATCCGTTCATCCTATTTCGACTCTTTAAAATTCAAGAGTCTTTCCTAAATTGAGGTAAATTATATGGCCTTCCAAATACCGTTTCGATCCCTAACATCACTGAAGAGACATTAATTGTCGAAATCCGGATATGGTGTACAAATTTTTGCACCTCATGTTTGCGGTATACCATCTTTTCCGCAAGTTTATTGGTTTCTGTTTGGTAATAAATTATTATAAGATCCATTTTGTTACATCTGGTGATCCGTTTATTTGGCAATCGCCAATGGCAGTCAGCAGGGTTTAAGAACATTAGTTGTTCGACCTGCTAGTCAAATGCGTTTTGTTAAAATATACTTTTTCACTTTTTTGGTCTTTTGGAAAATGTTGTTTGTGCTGTATTTAGACCCCTCTACCAAAAAATTTGTTTTGCATGCACACGTATAAAAATTGCGGTTTTTATCCAACGCAATCATAGGTTTGAACGTTGTTTTCAATTTAGACTTTTATATATTTTTTTCGTTTGGGCTTGTATTATATTTTCCTTCGGGTTTATATGATCCGTTCATCCTATTTCGACTCTTTAAAATTCAAGAGTCTTTCCTAAATTGAGGTAAATTATATGGCCTTCCAAATACCGTTTCGATCCCTAACATCACTGAAGAGACATTAATTGTCGAAATCCGGATATGGTGTACAAATTTTTGCACCTCATGTTTGCGGTATACCATCTTTTCCGCAAGTTTATTGGTTTCTGTTTGGTAATAAATTATTATAAGATCCATTTTGTTACATCTAGTGATCCGTTTATTTGGCAATCGCCAATGGCAGTCAGCAGGGTTTAAGAACATTAGTTGTTCGACCTGCTAGTCAAATGCGTTTTGTTAAAATATACTTTTTCACTTTTTTGGTCTTTTGGAAAATGTTGTTTGTGCTGTATTTAGACCCCTCTACCAAGAAATTTGTTTTGCATGCACACGTATAAAAATTGCGGTTTTTATCCAACGCAATCATAGGTTTGAACGTTGTTTTCAATTTAGACTTTTATATATTTTTTCGTTTGGGCTTGTATTATATTTTCCTTCGGGTTTATATGATTCGTTCATCCTATTTCGACTCTTTAAAATTCAAGAGTCTTTCCTAAATTGAGGTAAATTATATGGCCTTCCAAATACCGTTTCGATCCCTAACATCACTGAAGAGACATTAATTGTCGAAATCCGGATATGGTGTACAAATTTTTGCACCTCATGTTTGCGGTATACCATCTTTTCCGCAAGTTTATTGGTTTCTGTTTGGTAATAAATTATTATAAGATCCATTTTGTTACATCTGGTGATCCGTTTATTTGGCAATCGCCAATGGCAGTCAGCAGGGTTTAAGAACATTAGTTGTTCGACCTGCTAGTCAAATGCGTTTTGTTAAAATATACTTTTTCACTTTTTTGGTCTTTTGGAAAATGTTGTTTGTGCTGTATTTAGACCCCTCTACCAAAAAATTTGTTTTGCATGCACACGTATAAAAATTGCGGTTTTTATCCAACGCAATCATAGGTTTGAACGTTGTTTTCAATTTAGACTTTTATATATTTTTTTCGTTTGGGCTTGTATTATATTTTCCTTCGGGTTTATATGATCCGTTCATCCTATTTCGACTCTTTAAAATTCAAGAGTCTTTCCTAAATTGAGGTAAATTATATGGCCTTCCAAATACCGTTTCGATCCCTAACATCACTGAAGAGACATTAATTGTCGAAATCCGGATATGGTGTACAAATTTTTGCACCTCATGTTTGCGGTATACCATCTTTTCCGCAAGTTTATTGGTTTCTGTTTGGTAATAAATTATTATAAGATCCATTTTGTTACATCTAGTGATCCGTTTATTTGGCAATCGCCAATGGCAGTCAGCAGGGTTTAAGAACATTAGTTGTTCGACCTGCTAGTCAAATGCGTTTTGTTAAAATATACTTTTTCACTTTTTTGGTCTTTTGGAAAATGTTGTTTGTGCTGTATTTAGACCCCTCTACCAAGAAATTTGTTTTGCATGCACACGTATAAAAATTGCGGTTTTTATCCAACGCAATCATAGGTTTGAACGTTGTTTTCAATTTAGACTTTTATATATTTTTTCGTTTGGGCTTGTATTATATTTTCCTTCGGGTTTATATGATTCGTTCATCCTATTTCGACTCTTTAAAATTCAAGAGTCTTTCCTAAATTGAGGTAAATTATATGGCCTTCCAAATACCGTTTCGATCCCTAACATCACTGAAGAGACATTAATTGTCGAAATCCGGATATGGTGTACAAATTTTTGCACCTCATGTTTGCGGTATACCATCTTTTCCGCAAGTTTATTGGTTTCTGTTTGGTAATAAATTATTATAAGATCCATTTTGTTACATCTGGTGATCCGTTTATTTGGCAATCGCCAATGGCAGTCAGCAGGGTTTAAGAACATTAGTTGTTCGACCTGCTAGTCAAATGCGTTTTGTTAAAATATACTTTTTCACTTTTTTGGTCTTTTGGAAAATGTTGTTTGTGCTGTATTTAGACCCCTCTACCAAAAAATTTGTTTTGCATGCACACGTATAAAAATTGCGGTTTTTATCCAACGCAATCATAGGTTTGAACGTTGTTTTCAATTTAGACTTTTATATATATATATATATATATATATATATATAAATCTAAATTGAAAACAACGTTCAAACCTATGATTGCGTTGGATAAAAACCGCAATTATATATATATATATATAAGTCTAAATTGAAAACAACGTTCAAACTTAAGATTGCGTTGGATAAAAACCGCAATTTTTATACGTGTGCATGCAAAACAAATTTCTAGGTAGAGGGGTCTAAATACAGCACAAACAACATTTTCCAAAAAGACCAAAAAAGTGAAAAAGTAAATTTAAACAAAAAATGAAAATGGATCTTTATTATTAATTTAATTCCAACAGAAAACAATAAACTTGCGGAAAAGATGGTATACCATAAACATAAGGTGCAAAAATTTGTACACCATATCCGGATTTCGACAATTAATGTCTCTTCAGTGATGTTAGGAATCGAAACGGTATTTAGAATGCCATATAATTTACCTCAATTTAGGATAGACTTTTGAATTGTGAAGAGTCGAAATAGGATGAACGGATCATATAAACCCGAAGGCAAATATAATACAAGCCCAAACGAAAAAATATAAATAAGTCTAAATTGAAAACAACGTTCAAACCTATGACTGCGTTGGATAAAAACTGCAATTTTTATACGTGTGCATGCAAAACACATTTCTTGGTAGAGGGGTCTAAATACAACACAAACAACATTTTCCAAAAGACAAAAAAGGTGAAAAAGTATATTTAAACAAAACGCATTTGACTAACAGGTCGAACAACGGATGTTCTTAAACCCTGCTGACTGCCATTGGCGATTGCCAAATAAACGGATCACAAGATGTAACAAAATGGATCTTTATTATTATATATAAGTACGTCTGAACCAGTGACAACTCTACGACAGATTTTATCCATCGGATCACCAGTGATGGTGATACAAGTCTGAAAACACATTCTGTATATATAATTCGTCTAAATAACAGCCCAACAATGTTAGATCTGTAAATTTGCGGAAGCAAATTTTTTGTTCTTCCCTGGCCGGGATTCGAACTCATGCTACTGATATATATATGCCTCTTAAAAGAAAACATGTCTAAATATAGGTCCACTGAAAAAAATGGAAGCATTTAAATTATTTTACGTTCTTAGTAAGTTATTGCACGCTTCAGACAATTACCAGTTTGTCAATTGAAAAAAAGAAATGTTATTTTCTAAACATTTAATCTGAACATCACCATAAACATAATGCGTTGTCTGATCTTTCACGATCAATTTTAATTAAAAAATCAACAAAATTATACTTTTTTTCAAACATATCATGTACTTTTTCAAGTAATAACATATTTTTATTTTACTGGACATCTGAGACACCAAAGATAACGTTTCAAACATATCATGATATATTATAATTGATTGTGTATCGCCTTTTGTATTTTCTTAACAAGTACTGCATTTTTGCTTTAACGTAGTGCACAATATCGTTAAGGAAGTTGAATCGTTTTGACAGACATATTTCCTTTTCCACCTTTTGAAAATGCAGTATATTTTTCACAGATTTTGAAGAAGAATTACTCTTAATTGCATCGCAATGCTTGACCACCGTTTAATTGTTATTCCTTCACGATGTACCGGATGACACCCGTGTTTATGTAACATGTTACGTCTTGCTATTACGACCATGATTAATTTTACCAAATCAACAGAAAAGTGTATGTTGTCTATTCTTTGTACTGTTCACATATATTTCTATCTTATTTTAAAGTCATATTAAGTCCTTTATAAACAAGCGAAATAATGATTTCAAAACAGAAAATGGATTCATCAAAGTCAAGTAGTTACAATTAGACAAACGGCAACACTACTGTTGTTTTTACAACATTTGTATGAATGAAAACAATTGAAATAAACACAAATAAGCTTTTGAATGTATAATGTTTTATAAATAGTTATATTACAAGAAATATGTTACTTACTAAATCATGCTTTACCTGTCTAGTTCAAATAATTGATATCCACTAAAGATTACAATAAACAATTCAACTTCCTTTATACACAAATAAATTTAAATGTTAGTGTATATGACCGACATAGCTTTAAAATCAATAACAAGTAATTTTTGCACTGCATAGTATACTGTTTACTTAGTAACAACATTGTTTTTGCTTAATCAATTAAGTTAAGCAAAAATTAAGCAACTGCACGGTAGGTATAGCGGCCGGCAGAGCTTTTGTTTTTTTCGAGTGGATCTATCCACCTTTTTGAGTGAAATCACATACCATCGATTTACTCTTATTTCGCAATAATATGACTTTTATTCAAAACTACCAGCTCATTTTTATGAAATTTTCATGCAGATTTGAAAAAAAAATTGGTTCATGTCTGTCATATTTGTTTTTTGTTTTGTTTTTTTTGTAAATTGTTTTGTTATAAATAGGGCCGTTAATTTTCTTAATTGAATTGTTTTATATTTTTCATGTCGGGGCCTTTTATAGCCGACTATACGGTGATGTTTTCTTCTCATTGTTGAAGGCTGTACGGTTGCCTTTAATTGCTTGCTTACATACACAGGCACTTGTCTCAGAAAAAAAATATTCCTATATACCTTTATATATAGGAATTATTTTTTTTTCTGAGACAAGTGCCTGTGCTTACATATAGAAATAAGAAGATGAGGTATGAGTGCCAATGAGACAACTCTCCATCCAAGTCACAATTTGTAAAGATAAACCATTATAGGTCAAAGTACGGCCTTCAAAACGGAGCCTTGGCTCACACCAGCTATAAAGGACCCCAAAAAATGACTAGTGTACAACCATTCATACTCTTGTTTGAACTTTTGGGGATAGTTGTCTCATTGGCAATCATACTACATCTCCTTATTTTAATATAAGTTTAATTGTCAACTTATTGATTTAAAATCAAGCTTTTTACATCGTTCGGTTTTTTTTTAGAGTACTATTTATAATAGACATATTGTCCGGGATTTTTAAAAATAATGTTATCATGAAATAAGTCACACGGGACCCTTGAAATTGCATTTAAAAAATATTTTATAACTGTAATTTAGTGAATACAATAACATGTATTTATTTAAAGACCTCCAAAACATATACAAATTTTCATTAATTTCAATATAACATAGGAGATATGGTATAATTGCCTTTGAGACAACTATTCAACAGAGTCGTAATGGCGTGGATTACAGCAATCAAAGGTTACCTTAATGCTTTCAACAATGAGCTGACGGTTGCACTCTAGATGCCTTTTAGGCTATTTTGTCATTGGGTTTATGTTTCATTTAGATTTTGTCATTGGGTTTATGTTTCATTTAGATTGATCACATCTTCGTTTATGCATGGACACATTATATCCTCGTATACTATTAAAACAGCTAACAGGGATATTTAACTTAAATTCTAGTATGTTGCCTTCGTCTATTCGATTGTCCCCAGCTGGAATTACATGACTATGGATATATGTATCTTCTGTGATGTATTGTAAAATAAATAAATACATGTTTAGAGCCAGCTAGCATGACGTGCTGTTACTCCACGACCATGTGTATCATATGTCAAATCCTGGAATCATCTTCATAATTATGACATTTGTACAGCATTGAATTTCTTCTTTTCCATTGCTGGATAAAAATAAATGAATAACATCTATAAAACCTGTAAACGAAGGCAATAAGTCTTCGTTTTCTGTCAGAAAGCACATTAAAACACGCCTTACATAAATATAAACAAATCAACCTATACAAATGAACGACAATATTTAGAGGAAATGTGTGTATATTTGATGGAGAGTTGTCTCATTGGCACTCATACGACATCTTCTTGTGTCTATATACAGCATTATCAAAGTTTTTAATGTAATTGCACATGTATGTGCTGTTTTAAATACCTTTTCTAAACTTTTTCTTTTTTTCATCACGTAAATTCAGTAATAAATCACATTTTAACCTGTAGAAAACGTTTGAAGTGTGGAGGAGGATTCTGAAAACGAATATCCTGGTCTGGTAAGAGCTGAAAAATAACTTTGCATAAGACTTTGAATATTGTGCGACACAAAATCCAGGAAACAATTGTTTGCAAAATTTAAAATATATTTACGAGTGGCAAAGACGCCAAAAAATAAATAAGCGTAGATGACAATGAATAGTAAATCCGCACACACAATCCGCCTACCTGCCCCTCTCCACTATATCAAATGTACACCCCCTTACTGTTAAGTTTGACCATCTTAATGAAACAAATACAGGGAAAATTATTTAACCATTTCGCATTTCGTTGATGTCACTTACGTATGCTTCTAATGCCGCCATGGTATCTTTCTTATTAACTATCGCGCCAGTTATTTTGTAAAAAAAACTCAAAATAATAAAAAAGAAAGTGCTTTACACAAACATATTGAAAACTATGTTTACACTTTTTATTTTCGAAAACTTTGTAACAAAAATCGACAACAATGTTATAATTTCTTTCTCTGATGCACCATTAAATAAATGAGAAATGACAACATTGTCCTTTTTTCATTGAGAATTAAACAGCGTGGGAAAGTGAAATTGAATACATATTCTTTTTTTTTTTGTCTTTTTGATCTGTGAAATCAAAAATGAAAAGTGAAATCACTTTCGTTTTTCGTATTTTGTTTGAAAAATCAAAAAATGATAAATGATAACACCTTCGTTTTTCGTTTAATGAAATGAAAATAAGAAATGAAAACACTTTTGTTTTTCGTTTTTTGTTTTGTGAAAAAAAAAATTAAAACACATTCGTTTTTGTTTTTTTGTTTTTTTGTTTTTGATGTTTCAAAACGAACAACGAATGGACGCAAATATACACGTATGTAGAAATATACAAGTATTTCTGTGAAGCGTCTCTAATCGTAACTAATAATAAACTATATGGGCGCATTTACTTTGATTTATACATTCGCATGTGTATTAAAATGACTTTAATTCTCATTTTTGAGTAAAATCATTCTCAGGATATAATATACTACTTTTTGACTTGTATAATTTCGAATAACATAATTCACTAGAAAAACACGATCCAAGCCGGACACTATACCGATCGTGAATTGATCTATGATTATTTAACATAACTCTTTTGTTCGTTGTTCGAGTAATGTATTATACCCTATGTGTTTACAGTTAAGGATGTATTCTTCTGACGTTTTAGTCTCGTTGAAATCTCGTTCTGGAATTATTTCCAAAATATATGATACAAGTGGAAAATATAAATGAATTTAAAAAATGTTATAATCAAACTTAACTCTGTGAAAAAGTTGTGTATTTACAATGAGTAGTTTTTGAGAAATCAATTTTTCAAATTTTGTTACCAATCAAGTCAGTCTTTTTAGCCAAAATTTTGAGAAAATGGGTGAGGGGTACAAGAAATGATTTTACCAGAAACATGTACATTCCATATCACTTTTTTCTTTTCAAATTTCTTAGATATGTATTTTTTCAATCATTTATAACAAAGAAGTTGAAATAATATGCATTTTGTTCTTAAAACAGAGAAAAATCACAAATTTACAAAATTGACAGCATGGTAAATTTGACACAAAAAAAGCATCAAAATATGATAAAATTTTCTTATATTAACACCTACCTATAGTTTTTTTTAAGTTAAATTTATTCAAATTGGTCCACTTCATCTTTATTGAAAGTATGAAAAAAAGTTTAATTGTGGAACTATGATTTTTTTCACGATAATAGCCCAAAAATAGGTAAAAAATTATGAAAAATGGGAAAATCATCAAAATTGGGTACTTTTAAAAGGCCGAAGCAAAAAAAAAGAAGTGCACCTCCATATGATTTTTTCTTCACCAATTTATTTTTACAGTCATATAAACCCAAACATCAGGTTAAGAAAAAAAGCCCAATTCTAGAAATGTTTGGCTCCTCAGAGGTGTACATCCTTAATTAAGATAAATTATTCGTTCTTAAGAATATTTTTGCTGTCAACGATACATTACAAGTTATTACACCATGCATCTTTGAACTATAACAATCAATGCTTTACCCGTATTTTAAAATTATGTTTTTTTCGTGGCAGTGCTGTGTCTTATTCTAGGAATGTTGTGTTCCTTCTTGTCTGAAATGAATAAGTTACGTTTAGGAATATAAAAGTATGTGTTAAATTTTTAACAATGTAAAAGTAAGCAAACGACACAAAAGCAACTAGTGGCCAACATACTATAGTCGACAAAAGACATTTCTTTACAATATGTATAGCTCCAAATTCCCAAAGACTAGAAGATTTGTAAACAAATTCAATGAAAACTACACACAATTTGCCGTCATTATCAAATTCCGCAAATAACAGAACATACTGAGATAAAATAAAATACGAGGTTCATGAATTTGGACATTAACATGAAAATGACGAGGAATTAAAACTAGTTAAAACCGGATCGAACATTGAGTGATATAATCAATAACATTCACCGTGTAGAGTACCAAATGCTAGAATTCAAAATTGTTAGCACCAAATAATGTATTGCAAGGAAGATATCGAACCAAGATAATCTACAAACAAGCAAACGGAAGTAAATTAACATCCCAAATGCTCTGTTTTCTCAAATAACCCTCCTTAGTTTTCCGTGTCGCAGATTTTGAGACTTCATATGCAAGTTTTAGTATTAAAAACTACTTTTTGGCGACCTATTTTCGTATATTTCATATAAAACTGAAGTCATATCGTAGAAATAGACCTATTTCAAGCTTCCCAGTAAACATTACTTTTAAAGTTATTTTTCAATTTAAATGTAATGTGTCGCACGAATGGAAGATTTCGAATCTCAAAGGTGTAAGGCATGATTTGAATTAAAACGTTTGAGATTTTGGCGTTACTTGGACACTCGTCCTCGTTGCCAGTAATCATTTCACATTTTCGGATAGCTTTCAAAAACCGCTTTACCAATTTTAATCAAATTTGATATGAATTATGTATGAACAGTCGCTTCGATTGGATGAAAAAATATTGCCAATGCAAATATTTGAATCTTATCGGCTAATTTTGAAAAAGTCTT